AACACTCCTGGAATAGGTCATCTGTCCAATATCCCTTGCAGCCTTTCGTATGGTTTGTCAGTAGATCTCATTTGCGTTAAAAAGCAATGCCATGCAGAAAAGTGATGCAACCCACATATGAGTTGAATTGAGCCTGTGGGATGGAGACCTAGATGAGATAATTGCCACCAGATGTAAGAGGCTGTCGAGCTGCGAGTTCTGCTTTCTAAATAAACATGCTTTTATGAGTCATTGCCTTATAGTGGTGACGGAGCTCTGGTTTCCCTTGTTCAAACACAAATAAATAATCAGGAAAGAGCTCCCCCTTAACGGTCCACTGTGGCTGTTGTCAATGCGAAAAGTATGGTTCAAATTACACCAGGGGCATGGAGTAAAACAGCCATCTTTTTCCAGTGTGATTCTGTGCATTGTGTCACTGGTGCCACTGCGAGCAAAGCCACATGAATACAACAGTCTCCTGCAAATATAGATATAGTCAATGTTTTTCTTTTTTCGAGCTTGTGAGCCACATGCGGTAAATGTTCGCGGTGCAACAATTGTGTGATCACATTGTTTACATGCCTGTTATCTTTGTGGACAACATGGCATGAAATCTATTAGCAAATATTTAGGTTCTGACGAGGGAAAAAAAGAGTTGTGGAATCTTTGATCCACATGAGACTGTTTAGTTTTGGGATCAACAAAATGTATCAGTAGAAAGTAAACAGCTTTTTTGAAAATGCGACTTTCAAGACGTCATACAAGAGAACGGTTTTGAGAATGTGAATGGGAATGAGTCTTTATTTGGACAATGCAAAATAAAATAAAAAAAACAAAACAAAAACCTATACGTGTACAATGTATGTACAATGTATGTACAATTTGGGAATAAATACAATAAACAATCACCAAAGGAACTCTTCGGAGAGGCATAGCTTATTTACGTGTACAAACTAACATAATTTACACCAAAATTAGTTTTCCCTGTGGCGACAAAATTCTTTATTTTTGTGACAATCGGGAAACGTAATCTGAATATGGGACTTTAAGTTATTCCCAAGGACCCTAACACTAACCTCAACTGTATTTTTGTTTGTAAGCTGATCCTTAAGGTCACTCTACATCCATCCTCTGGACATGTCAAAACTTACAGAAGTAAAGTGGGTTGCAAAAACGTGTCATGTTTTTGACAGATTAAGATTAAGATTAAGATTAAGAGATTAAGAGATTCTTTATTTGTGCCAAAGTGGGGAAATTTCGGTGTTGCGTCACAGGTTATAAAACAGTAGGAAAGAGGAGCACAATAGCCATACTAATCAAAATAAAAACAATCTAACTATAGCATCAATAATAAGTATAAAATCTCATTTTATCTCATTTACATTTGACAAAATAAGAGGCAAGTATAAAGTACTGAGAAGCAAACAAAGTAGAAAATCTGTATATCTTAAAGCATATCAAAAATTACATTGAATACTGTGAATATCTGGACACTATGGGAGCCACGGAACATCCTTATATGGTCATTCTGCAACTGCTCCAGTAAAGTACCATCTCCGTCCATTGCCGACTGTAATCCTGTATAACCTTCAATCAGTCAAAGAATTTGGTCCTCATCCAGCAGATACTATCAGAGTTGTACTTAAATGTTGTGTGGTTTTGTTTCTTTCATATTCTGTGTATAATTAATCATTCTGTTCATAAACGGCCTCTGGAACATGTTCACACACTGTATGTCTTATGTGAGCTATTAACCTGTCTCCTCCAGCTATAATTTGGATGTCAGTGATTAAAGTCCTACCTGTGGCTCTACAGATGGAGAAAGGGAATGCCTGGTAACTGCTGGGCTGAGGTACATGACGTCTGGGCCATGCAACCCTGACACCATCGCGGGCCACTCTGAGAGGGTAATTGTATATGTTATGAGAGGGAGGGGGAGCGGGAGAGGGAGGGGCTGCGGTTTGCTTAAGACTAGGTTACTAGTTGTGGTGCCACGTGCATGTGAAAGCCAGATCCTGTCCGATTTCTGAAGTTAAGCAGGGCAGGAACTGGTCAGTGCTGTGATGGGAGACCTTTGGGAACAACTGGTGCAACAGTGGGGCGGCTGCGGCTATAAAGTGCCAAACTGCTGTTGTGTCCTTAGGCAAAACACTTCCCCCATATTGCGTCGAATGAGTCTGTTTTGTGTGTAAATGGTTGGTGGCGGTCCGAGGGGCAGATGGTATATAGTACAGTACAGTAGTAGTTTTTCACCACCGTGTATGAAGTGAATGAGTAATGACAGTGAAATTGTTTAATTGATTCATTGATTTTTCTAGGAGAATTGATATTGCATCAAATTGTGGTTACACTAGGTAGAATAAAACAATGGTAACTGTTGGAAGGCATTGAAGAACGTAGAATGTTGCTCTGAAATACACAGACATTTTAATTGTGGAGTCAATCGCAGTACAGTACAGTACAGTACAGTACAGCACAGTACAGTACAGTACAGTGCAGTACAGCACAGTACAGTACAGTACAGTACAGTACATTACAGCTCCTCTGTGGCTCTGTGGAGTCAATCGCAGCGTCTCTTGAGCACGGCATCCACAGGACGACCACTTCCACCGCAGGATTATTCAGTCTGTTCACAATGAAGCGTGTGCAGAGTACAGTTCAGTACAGTTCAGTTCAGCTCAGTACAGCACAGTACAGCACAGTACAGCACAGTACAGCACAGTACAGCACAGTACAGCACAGTACAGTGCAGTACAGCTCAGTCCAGTCCAGTACAGCACAGCACAATACAGTACAGCAGAGCACAGTACAGTTCAGTACAGTACAGTACAGTACAGTACAATACAGTACATCACAGTACAGTACAGTACAATACAGTACATTACAGTACAGTACAGTACAGTACAGCACAATACAGTACAGTACAGTACAGTACAGTACAGCACAGTACAGTACAGTACAGTACAGTCCAGTACAGTTCAGTCCAGTCCAGTACAGCACAGCACAGCACAGTGTAGTACAGTACAGTACAGTACAGTATAGTTCAGTACAGTACAGTTCAGTTCAGTACAGTCCAGTCCAGTCCAGCACAGCACAGCACAGCACAGCACAGTTCAGTACAGTACAGTACAGTATAAACAACATATCCAGGCACTGAAAGGTTGAGGTGAGCTCACGGTTTACATTTACATGCGTCCTGTTTAAATACTGCTTTTTACACATGCGTCTCGTGATATTGTTTCTAAACTGTCCCCCTCTGGCTCTGCTGTGGCTTGTGTGAGCTTCAGAATAAAAACCCAATAAAACGCTGTCAATCTCAGCGATTTTGAAAGAACAAACTTCAGTCTCTGCTGTTTTCATTTCCAATAATAGCTTCAATGAACATTTTGTAATACAATTACATGTATTGAAATACTAAATAAATGAATAAAAATAGTACGTTGATTGGATATTGGTTTCATGATATTGGTTGGATATAATGGATCTTTATTGTGATGTTATTTATTGTGTGGAGATTAACCCATAGTGTTAAAGAGATTTAACTTGGTTCTAGTGGTAAATAAACAGTAACAAAAAAGTTAGCTGTGAATTGAGGAAGAAAACTATTTTCAGTCCCTTCACATTTGTGTGTTCATGTTGAAAGTATCTGGATCGATATCGGACGTGACATTGGTTCATCTGTATTAAGGCGAGGCACGGTGTTGATAATTAGAAAATTCTAAACTGGAATTCTGGAATGTAGCCTTCAAAACTAACCACAAACACAAACTTTGTTCGGAAGCGAACAGCATTCCGTTTCTCTGGCTCTAAAAGACTACTTTAAATGCATTGGCTGCAATCTGCTGCAGACATTTCTATACACACATAAAACAGGGAGACAATCTTTACTGGTGCACCTCATGTGAAAGACCCAAAAGTTGCCAAACTGTTGTGAAAGGTTCGAAAAATAACATCAGAATTGGAAATTTATTTCAAAGTCAAAAATAACATTCGTACAGTCTCCAAAAAAAGATTAGGAACCCTTTAAAAATGAAAACAACAATAAACTGAAACAGGGTGTTTTACACCTGATCAAAATAAAGCGGTTGAATCTAACTTTGAAACCACAACATAAATAAATAACTATTAAAACACCAGACCAACAAAAGACCATAAAACATCAGTAGTTAGTCTACATCTAGATGTCTCAAATCTGTAGATCGGCCTTTTCAGTGTAGAAGAGAGCGCGCCCTCACTCATCTGCGATCAGTGTGTAAACAATAACATGTTGTGGTCTGATTTGGAGCTCACTTAGTAAAGATCAAACTATAAACAGAATGTTTTTGTTTGCCGTGTTTGAAGTGCTCCTTGGCTTCATCTCTTTCAGTCGAGGGTGTTTAAAATGCAAAGCAAATAAATAATGTGGATGCATCTTACATCTTGACGTCTTTCAAACTAAAGTTGCCATTACGCACCTCTGCGTTGGCTATTCGATTTTTCTTTGCAAAGCAGCAATTTAGCCTTTTGTGGATAAAATGAAATACTTCAAATGAATTGGTGGTTGGTGGGGGAAAAAGCTTTGGATTCTGACACATGCAATCACATTATGAGTGCACTGCATTCCACCCATTCATGGACTGACAATTTGCAACCTCCAGACAACCACTAATAATTGGCAAAACCTTGAAAGTGGTTAAAAGGAGAACTACAAAAGTGTGCTTTTACCAGGGAAATAAAGTAGCAAACCCATGCAAAAAAATATATAAAGCATCCAAAACTTTCTAATTAATTTGTGTGAATTTACCTGGGAAATTAAGTGGCCAACCAATGCAAAACAAACCATACAAAAATCCCAAATTTTCTTTTTTATTTTCCGCATTGTAAAACGTAACTGCCGAAAAACAGCAAATGAAACAAAGATGACAGAAAGCACGTATCAAATCGTACTTCATGGATAGTTATAAAGAGGATTCGTGATAAATACAGTATGTCCGGTCTGCTTGGTTCATTCCTGATAAATACTTGTTGCAGACAAAGTGAAGATGGCTCCAGCTGTCCAGCCTCCTGCATGTGGTCATGGGGAGCGTGAGTGCAGCCCGCCTCCCTTCTGTCCTCAGTTTGACAAACCGCTCCAAACAGCTGGGAGAGCATCACTTCATCCAGGCCTGGCTCAGCACCAGCTCTGTGTCCGCTACTCATACTCACACCTCCTTTCCTCTCCTCGCCGAGCCACGGACCATGGTGCCAGGGCAGTCACATATTTTAACTTCTCCCGTGGTTCTCCCGTGGCTCTCCCGTCTGCTTTATCGGTCAAATGTGAGCGGAGACAGTCCCAGACGAAGAGCGCTGTGTGTTATGTTTGTTGTGAGCACCTGCGAGGAGTCAGTGCCAGCTCCTGTTGAGTCCAAATGGGAGGTCCAGACAGTCCCCCAGTCTCACAAATGTGTCCTGTTATAACCAATCCTCCTGAACCGGCTGCAGTAGCTATAGAGACGGAGTGATGCTGTGTGGAAAAGCAAATCTACTGAAAATACAAGAGTAAAATGTAGATGTGTGTATGTGTGACATGGGTGATTATATGTAAAATAAGTATAAGTGTGAAATTCTGTATCTATGATCGAAATGGGGTCCAGTTTTTTATTTTGAGGTTTGGCAGAGCTGTGTCATTTCCGGCTCAAGGTGATAGATAAAGTGGCAAAGAGTGTTGAGGATGTTGTTTTATGGGAGACCATCGGGGGGGGCAATAATCGCTAATTACACTGCACCCGCATGATGCTAAACAGAGAGAATCATGTCAATAATTATTTTAGATTGATAGATATAATTGCAAATCTCAAAAAGCCCTTCAAATATAATCCCACCCATCAACGTTTAAAGCAGAAACAAAATAAATCTCTTGTGTATAAACTTTTCAGAGCACTGTTCTTCCACTGACCTAAAAGGAAATCATAACTTTGTAAACTCAGAGTATTTGTAAAGGTTATAGCTGCTTTGTTTTAAGGATATTCTGAGCCTTGATTGATGGTTGTTGTTGTCTCCTGCAGGTACATTTAGTTTCATATGTCACATTCAAAATAAATAACAGATGGAAGACAAGAGAAAATGAAGCTCAGAGGGAAAAGGTAGGTGGGCTGGGATGGTATAAATGAACAAATGTAATGTGTGCGAGTGCCAAGGGAGAGGGGACAGGCAGAGGATGGGCAGCAGATGGAGCAGTGAGCGACCAGCACGCTCTTTGTTCTGTCAGTGCCTATGAACCGCTATGGGGGGGCTCTCATGTGCTTGATATCAAACTGAAGACCTCCAAGAGGCATCTGTATTTTTTGGGCTGATGCTGTCAGGAGGTCAGTGGCACATATAACACAGGAGTCTGACCTCTCTATCCATCAGTGTGTGAGAGCGCACATGCACGCGCTCTGATGCCATCATCGCATTAACATAGATGACAATCTGGCACGAAGGTGCTGATCAAAGATACATTTCCCTCCCTGGCTCACCTCCTGTTAATTATGCCATCTGTGTTGGATCGCAGCATCCCGAGTGTGAGGGGGAGGCCGATCCGTCAAACTCCGGCTCTCACGCGCCGACAGGAATCCACCAGAGAGCGATCGCCTCCAACCTTCACACAGGTTACAGCAGGGCGCTGCGATTGTACACATACATACCACTATGAGTTATTCTGTGGGACAGATGCCGCTGGCCGGAGTGCTCACTGTCGGACACAAATCAAAATTCCAACTAATGGAACAAAACCTGACAAGCGCAGGGTTTCAACGAGGCCCAGTGAACTCCTGGTTCGGTGTTTCCCTGTGGAACAATATGTATGGGACCATGACCTATGGCCCTTACTATTCCATTTTACTAAACTCACTTTTTGTGTACTTGACAATTACATGACCATTATAATTTTGTTATTGTGATCAAATCTATGGGTTAAAAGCTCAGGGTAACATACTGTCCATCGCTCAAATGCATCCTCTAAAGATAAGGTAGTGCCTCAAAACAAAGCACAAATGATCTATTGTTCTGGAGTATCAGGTTGATAAACCCGCAGCGAGCTTTGGAGAGAGGGGGTGGTCCCAGCTCCGTGACAGATGTGTCCTGTGCTCGTGGGCAGCTCCATAAAGTGTGAAACAGGCCTGTGTCATTAGTGTGGATGAACCTCCTCCCTGTCCCCCTCATCCAGACACTGTCATCTCTCCATCACCCCACCGTATGTTACACACAACATGTCACTATAATGCTCTTTTACATACACATTTATGACCATGGGATCATTTAATGTATTTGTGTCTACCATAATTCAAGTCCCATTGGCTGCAGAGATATGAACACAGCTGCAGTGCTCTTAAAACGCCATTAAAATTATTGAATACATTAAGATACAGCTGTCAGGGGCTCTGAGCACCAACTTACACCGTTAGTAAATACAGTGTGATAGAGGCATTCTTTGAGATCACAGATTTATTGATGGGCCCATTTTATTTTATTATTGTCTTAGACGCCAATTACCGATGTAGGGTTTACCTCGAGAATGCCTGTAGAGAAATGCGCCGAATATGCTTGAAGCTGGGGTACCTACCTTTGACTTTTATAAATAATACATAACTTTGGTGTGGCGTGCTGATTGGCTGAGTGAGGGTGGTTCTGTTTTTAATTATTACTGTTTAAAAATCACCCCAAAAATGTGGAAACTAGTGACAGTTTATGTTTTTTTGAGTTAGAACGAGTTAAGGCAAGGCAAGGCAAGTTTATTTATATAGCACAATTCATACACAAGGCAATTCAAAGTGCTGAACAAAAGAAGAAAGCATTAAAATCATAAATAATCACTGAACATTAAAAAGATAGATAAAAATATAAAATCCCTCAGTTGTATGCACAGCTAAAAAGAACTGTCTTTAACCTGGTTTCAAACATTGTCAGAGAGGAGGCCTGTCTCACATCTTCAGGAAGACTGTTCCAGATTTTAGCAGCATGAATCTGAAAAGCAGCCTCCCCATGTTTAGTTCTGACTCTGGGCACTAACAGGAGTCCAGTCCCTGTGCTCCTCAGAGTCCGGGCTGGTTCATATGGGACTAACATGTCACTAATATATTTTGGTGCGAGGCCATGGAGAGACTTGTACACAAGCAGAGCTGTTTTAAAGTCTATTCTCTGAGCCACAGGAAGCCAGTGCAGAGACCTGAGGACTGGACTAATGTGGTCATACTTCCTGGTTCTAGTCAGGACTCGAGCTGCTGCATTTTGAATGTACTGCAGCTGTTTTACAGCCTGTTTGGACAGACCTGTGAGCAGGCCATTGCAGTAGTCTAACCTACTGGAGACAAATGCATGGATAAGAATCTCCAGGTCTGCTTTAGACACTATGTTTTTGATCCTGGCAATGTTTTTTAGATGGTAAAAAGCTGCTGATGTTACTGATTTGATGTGGCTATTAAAATGTATGTGGCTATTAAAATTAAAATTTGAAAGGCTTCCTGTACATGGCTTTCATTACATAATTCCATTGTTTGTGGTTTGAAAGTTAGGAACCCCAGCTTTAATTGTTCTCTCTGTCATTAGGTGTCCTTGATCTTGAAAGGCGTGTCATAGTGCGGAAACAAACAGCAGGTAGAAAACGTAATGTAAGATAAAATAAAAATATTCATCTTGTGTAAGTCGTGTGTAATACCCTCAGAGACCCGCAGAGAGACGAACCAGGAAGACAATTAGAGATTGTGTGGTGAGAAAGAGACTGCTGTTGTATTGTTCAGGCGTTTGGTTCACCTCCATCAAGGGCAGGATTCACATTTGAAAGGCTTCCAAGTAATGCGCTTTTAAGTGCTGCTGTATTTGACCATTAAGGGGAAAAATGGCTTTATCAAATATTCTCTTTTATATTATGCTTTGAAGATTTTTTGTGTGGAGCATAAAAGTGGGTAGAAAAATGTTGAATGTGTGACGTGGATGCGGAAAACTGAACATGCGTTATCCTTTATCAACACATACTTTAGATTGACTTAACCATCACTATGACATGTTTCATTGAGAAAGAATGTAAAGCGTCAGACTGGGGTCTTTTGTGCAATAGTGCATTCTAATGATTATTCAGACACAGACTTGATCTGCCCATTAAAGGGGACGTCCGAAACTTAATTTGTACTTCAATTCGAAATAATAGATATTTCTGACCATGGTTGTTATGATTTGACTGAAACGATCCAAACGCAGATACAAAAATACAAGTTATTTTAATTAACAAAAAATACTGGAGAACAAAAACATGATTGTAATAAAGTCCAAAGTAGCTCGAAAGGAAAAAATGGGAAAACTGGTCCTCCAACTAAGAAAATAAAAAATGGGAAAAAGGGTTCTCCAAATCTCTAGGAATGCTTCTACCAATCAACGGACCAACTGGCAGAGGCTGAGTGGATTTTGAGCGTTGAAATATTCTCACCGATTGTTCTGATGGGAGTTAGGTGGGCTCTCCTCAGCTGGCACCAGCTCACCTGCTCTGGGGGAGGAGACTCAGACACACAGGGGGAGGAGGAGACACAGGAGGAAGGAGGAGCACAAAAACTGCAGGTGAGCATGGGCGGAGCTAACCAGTGCTTGTCTTTAAAAATGTCTTTAAAAACCAGAAGTACAGTGGTGCCTCATTTATCGCGGCGGTTACAGCAGCTGTATGTTTTAATGCTGTAAAACCCTCACAACAAACTTTATACACTTTTCTAACCACCTGAACTTGCGACTGCTGAAGTGCAATCATGGATATAGCAAATCTATCTGAGAGCTGCTGCAGCTGTCAAAAGCCTTGCACTGTACATTGCAAAGTAAAGCTGCAGAGGAGACCAAGCTGAGGGGTGGGAGTAAGACTGAGGCAGCTGTAAATGACTTTCACTTTAATGAGAAGGTAAAAAGGAGAAAACGTGACTACACATTTTTTCTTATCAATGCTTATCACTAAGCTGAAGATGTTCTTTTCCCAATGTCATTTGCAGTGTTGCCAACTCCTCAGTAAGGAAAGTAGCTATTGGCTGTCCCAAAAGTCGCTAGAAGTCGCTAAATGACGTCATCGCCTAATTTGCATAATTTGCCATTTGCAAATAACTGTAACGGACGCTGTAGGAGAGAGGAATAAGGTCGTGGGAGAGACAAAAGTGAGTAAAAACACCCTAAATATGTTTAGAACTACAAATGTACAAAAATAATTTCAACATTAACAACATTTAATGATTTTAATGCTTTGTCTAGATCGACATTACACACATCAGTTTTGTCCTGTATTGTTAAATGTTATAACAGCAAATGTAGTCAAAAGATTGTTATGTAGGGTGAAATTGCTAGCTCTACAACCAACCCTCCTCCTTTATCCGGGCTTGGGACCGGCAAAGTGACCCAAAAGACACACTCTGGCAGAGTTACTTAGGTCTATTTTTGTAAGTTTTTTTTTTTTTTCATAGTTTGGCATAACAAATGATTTAATGTGACCCACTACTGAGAGAAAACAGAGTCACGGACAGAGCTGCCGCGGATGGAGTGGGGGGTAGTGGGGGGTGGCGGTGGTAGGAGTGGCCGGGGAGCTTTGGATGTGTGGTGGTGGTGGAGCTGAAGTTCAGTCTGCAGCAGCCTGAAAACTCCCTGTGCTTTTGAGTCTCCTCTCTCTCTCTCTGCTCCGCCCATAGACTGTAGCTGGGACTGCTGCGCAAGGCTACTGTGAGACAGACTGGCCGCCTGTAGTGCTTTGGGACGGGGGAGGGGCTCACGTTGAGGACAGCAGAACAATACGTGCTTCACGAGTCTCCAAAACACCAGATAAGTCGCCAAAACACCAGATAAGTCGCCAATAACACCAGAAAAAGTCGCTAGATTTGTCGCTAGTCGCTTTTTTGAAAAAAAGTCGCTATAGGGGTCTGAAAAGTCGCTAAATCTAGCGACAAAGTCGCTAAGTTGGCAACACTGGTCATTTGTGACTCGGACTTGTCTTGATCACTGTGGCTGTTTCCCATGATCCTCCTGGAGTGTCCCCAGATGGTCTGTATGTGAGGCACCGCTGCCAGCTCCCTCCACAGCACCATCAGGATGGGACTTGGCACATCACTTTGTCCCGGGACACAAGACAAACTTCTGGAGGTCATCTTTGTGTTGTGACCAGCTGCACTTTTTAGGATTCAGAGACTTGGGATGTCTGCTGGAGGAAGAGATGTTTTGCAATCATACTGTTTTTACAGCAATTACAATTATACGTATTGTGATCTAATGTGTGGAAGATACATGTCATTGTCAAGCGCTTTGGGACTCCTCTGTAAAAGGCAATTAATACTTTATTTTATCCCAAACAAACAGCTCACTATGGATGAGAGCCCAAGTTCACAGAAAAGTTCTGGTTCAGTTTGGTTCTGCAGAAGAAACAATGTGAGAAAATGGGACAAGATAAAAATAAGGAATGGAATAAAATGATATGGAAATTAAAGTGGGCGTGAATGACTGTAGAGGGTGAAGGACAGAATAAATTGGATTAGACTAATTTTGAGGCCATCTGATAAAAAGCGGAACTGATACAATAGAACTACACCAGCATATAGCACATTTATGCTAATGTATATGAGTCTACATAGTCTTGCTTGACATTTACCATAAACTATATGTCCTTCAGTTGTGCGAAAAGCTGTCTTTTTTCCCCCAAGGCTGCGTACCCAAAGAGCAAAGGCAGGATAGATATGACAGCGGGAGCAGTTGAAAAGGAATATGAAACAGGGCTCCATAGAAAAAACAGTAACAAAGAGAATGGCTGAAATGCACAGAGGTGTCCAGATCAAGAGGGTCGACTGGAGCTGCGCCCCAGGATTGTCTCAAAGGCCTGCCCCGTGGGGAAGCCTGCTGCTGGGGTGCGGACTCAACACAACAGCCTTTCTGCAGAAGCCATGGAGGTTCACACAAAAGATTGACTTTCACACAGGCTGATTGCGCCGATAAAGACTATAAAACCAACACATGAGGGGAAAAGGGAGTGTACTTGGTTTTGAAGGTAAAAAAACAAACAAAGCTGGACACATATAGACAATGAACATGTGTAGTATTGTTTAGTTTTAAGGATATGTGAATTTTAGGGTGAATTTATTAGAAAAAGAGCCATCTCATTCTTGTATTAGGAATTCTTTCTTAGCTCCCAATTCAAGTGAGACAGATTTGGAGTAGCTGTCCTGCATCGCGGCTCAAAGTGCATTAATACTGCAGATTATAAAGACCTGTACCAAAATATTGGGTTACAATTTAGTAATAACAGTCATTAATCCACATGAAGAAAAAAGTCTCTTAAGGATCTTCTAAACAAACGCTGTACTTGAGACGTACTGCGCAGTACCGCTTTAATCCCCTCCAAATATTGCGTCAGGCTTAAAATCTATGCGCAACAAGGCCGCAATAATGTATTTGACAAATGGTTTTGAAATCAGTGCAATATAAAGTGAAAACTGCACACAGCAGCTCTTGTTCTGGGGAAGTGCTGTTGATCAGGGATCAAGGGCAATCCTTCAGGTCAAGGCGAGACGTTCATCTCTGCTTTTGATGGTGTATTTAGTATTCATTTAGAAATAAAATGGTTAAATACCAAAAAACAGGTTCATTGACCCCTCTTCAAAGAGGCTTCTCCTTCATCACAGCCAGCTGCAGAGATGGACGTCTCTATGGTTTGAGTGAAAATGGCAAAAAAGAGCATTTTTGTAAAATCTCAAAAGTCAAACTCACACAATTTGTTCCTTTAGCAAAGGTAGTTTAAATTGGACTTATATAATGTGTGGACAATCTTTCTTTTCCCTGTATCTGTGACTCAAAGCTGACTCACCTCAGTGTCTCCTGAGAAAAGCTGCTGCATTTTGATTTCCCAAAGTCAGACGGAGAGATCTTGTGCGAAGCCAAACGTATTGTGTTAATTTATTTCTCCTCCCTGAACGCTGATACTTTTACTACATTAGGTTCAGTCAGTCTAATCTGATATGTGTAGTGTCTTAAAGGAGCCCCACTGCACGACAGCGCCCTAAGTCAATTACCGAGTGAAATCCTGCTGAGAACCTCAACGCTGACTTTTACCCTCAAATAAACAGGAGACGATCATTTGGTTCCAAGGTCAGAGCAGAGTGTGCCCAGGGCAGTTTATCCTCAATTTTTTCAATTATTTTTTTCTTAAATGTACTGTATGTATACGTTTAAATAAATCTTGAGTTATGTTTACTTCCTGGTGAAGGCTCATTTGGTTGTGTAGAGGTTTGGTGTAATTCTTTGATCTTTTCCCATCACACTCTGTTCTCCTTAAGTAACACCTGTATCGTGCACCTCCCTGATGTCTTACAATTCAATCGAGTTGTTAGGATCTATTATGATGTGAGCCCAGTGCACGTGGGTGTAATGACAGTGGCCCAGCTCGCTGTAAAACGGCGGCATATGGCTAAACTACACAACATTAAACATTTTGGAAAATATTCCTCCCTGGTGTCTCAATAGCACTGTGCTCTGGCAAATAAGCCATTACGCTGCAAATGACTTATGGTCCTGGAGCCGGGGGCTCAGCAGCACACAGAGAACTACAGCAGACACAGGATATTGTTTCATTCAAAAGAGAGTTTTGAACAATAGTTTTAAGCCCTCTGGTAAATCACTGTTGGTATTCATGAGAAAATCAGTGCAGTAAACAAACACATTATAAACATGAACCAACCTTATTTTATGTTTTGTTTACAGTGAATTGTAACATCAAGCTAAAGCTGCATTATGACGTCCAGTTCTGTTAAAAATACCATTTCAACATTTTGACACTTTGTTTCCATAATTCCAACTGTGCTGCATTAGTTTGCACCACTTCTAAATGCATGTTGTGAGCAAAACCCACACATGTCCACACACATGTGTGTGTTGTGTGCACAGTATATAGGAGCATCGATTCCATTGCAGTGTGATTGATGGGAACACTTAAAGCTGGTGACGGGGGTCAGACAGCCCTGATACCTGCTCCTCTCCTCCACATCGCTCCCCTCCCTGCCCACCTGGAGCGCCCTGAACCCTCTCCACACTGCACCACCTAATTATATCCTGGACGTGTAAATGTATTCATATTCATGAAGGCACAGATGTTAAATTAACTGTGGCAGGGACACGTCGCACTGAGCCGACTGCACAATCTGCTTCCTCTGCCTCCAGTGGAGGAGGGGGTGTAGCTGGGGGAGTAGGGAAACTTAAACAAAGAAGGAAAGAAGAGACACAGATAAAAACTTAACAGGGAGGAGAATGGAGGACAGCGGTGGCTCCAGGAAGTAAACAAACTTGAATGGTTTGGTCACAGTGCTGTAGGTGTTCTTAAGTTTCCAAAAGTTCCCTTCTCCCACAACACTGATCATTTTATACCAAAATGTATATCATATTTTACTGTTGGAGGATTTGCGTGAACTGACCCCAGATAACGCCGGCCCTTGTCTGCAGAAACTTTCCTCGACATCCATTTGACCGTGCTTTTGTGTCCTTGGACAAAGCACGTTACATTGAGTGAACTAAACTAAATGGTTCTTCGAGTGCGTTTGGTGAGTACAGGTTTCCTCCCTCTCCCATTTAACAAAGGCGATATTTAAATTCAGCATGCGGCAGGGCTACTGATGAGTGAAAAATCTGAAAGCATAAACCCAGTGAGCAGGGCTGGCAGAGTGGAGCTCGGGGAACTCAGGGCCAGATGGAAGGAGGTGCAGCGGCGCGCACCCGACAGATGGACGCTCCCAACCTGATATATGAAATTAATAACGTTTCTCAAATAGAATTCAGAAACAAGAATACATTACCTGAATTTTAATAACTGATTTCCACTTTTAGGGGGAGGAGGTGCGCGGAGGGGACAGTGAGATTTGCATGCCAGTATGAATAGGCGGGTAAACAATAGCACTGTGTCCAATTCTAATGAGAGGTTTTGCTGCGACAGTCGGACGACGGGAGGTGGCAGATGGGATGGGAGACCAAATGTTTACCTCCTGATCACATTTGGAATCGGTCAGATTTTGATTAAGTGACTTTAAGCTTTGTTACTGCAGGATATGTAAACACAAAATAATATGTTTTTTCTGTTGTAAGAAAGTCATCCTTGCTTACAATCTCCTCCTCCTCTGTCCTCCTCTGACCTCCTCCTCTGAGCTCCTCCTCTGACCTCCTCCTCTGTCTTCCTCCTCTGTCCTCCTCCCCTGTCCTCCTCCTCTGACATCCTCTTCTGACATCCTCTGTTTTCCTCCTCTGACCTCCTCCTCTGACCTCCTCCTCTGAGCTCCTCCTCTGAGCCCCTCCTCTGTCCTCCTCCCCTGTCCTCCTCCTCTGACATCCTCTTCTGACATCCTCTGTTTTCCTCCTCTGACCTCCTCCTCTGACCTCCTCCTCTGTCCTCCTCCCCTGTCCTCCTCCTCTGACCTCCTCCTCTGTCCTCCTCCTCTGTCCTCCTCCTCTGACATCCTCCTCTGTCTTCCTCCTCTGTCCTCCTCCCCTGTCCTCATCCTCTGACATCCTCCTCTGTCTTCCTCCTCTGTCCTCCTCCCCTGTCCTCCTCCTCTGACCTCCTCCTCTGTCCTCCTCCTCTGACCTACTCCTCTGTCTTCCTCCTCTGTCCTCCTCCTCTGTCCTCCTCCTCTGACATCCTCTTCTGACATCCTCTGTTTTCCTCCTCTGACCTCCTCCTCTGACCTCCTCCTCTGACCTCCTCCTCTGACCTCCTCCTCTGAGCTCCTCCTCTGAGCTCCTCCTCTGTCTTCCTCCTCTGACCTCCTCCACTGAGCTCCACTGAGCTCCACTGAGCTCCACTGAGCTCCTCTGAGGTCCTCCTCTGAGCTCCTCCTCTGAGCTCCTCCTCTGAGCTTCTCCTCTGACCTCCTCCTCTGAGCTCCTCCTCTGAGCTCCTCCTCTGTCTTCCTCCTCTGACCTCCTCCACTGAGCTCCACTGAGCTCCACTGAGCTCCACTGAGCTCCTCTGAGCTCCTCCTCTGAGCTCCTCCTCTGAGCTCCTCCTCTGAGCTCCTCCTCTGAGCTTCTCCTCTGACCTCCTCCTCTGAGCTCCTCCTCTGTCTTCCTCCTCTGTCCTCCTCCTCTGAGCTCATCCTCTGACCTGCTCCTCTGAGCTCCTCCTCTGAGCTACTCCTCTGTCTTCCTCTTCTGAGCTCCTCCTCTGTCTTCCTCCTCTGACCTCCTCCTCTGTCCTCCTCCTCTGACCTCCTCTGTCCTCCTCCTCTGAGCTCCTCCTTTGACCTCCTTCTCTGAGCTCCTCCTCTGAGCTCCTCCTCTGTCTTCCTCCTCTGAGCTCCTCCTCTGACCTCCTCCTCTGAGCTCCTCCTCTGTCCTCCTTCTCAGACCTCCTCCTCTGTCCTCCTCCTCTGAGCTCCTCCTCTGAGCTCCTCCTCTGTCCTCCTCCTCTGTCTTCCTCCTCTGACCTCCCCCTCTGTCCTCCTCCTCTGTCTTCCTCCTCTGAGCTCCTCCTCTGACCTCCTCCTCTGACCTCCTCCTCTGTCCTCCTCCTCTGACCTCCTCCTCTGTCCTCCTCCTCTGACCTCCTCCTCTGAGCTCCTCCTCTGACCTCCTCCTCTGAGCTCCTCCTCTGACCTCCTCCTTTGACCTCCTCCTCTGTCCTCCTCCTCTGACCTCCTCCTCTGTCCTCCTCCTCTGAGCTCCTTCTCAGACCTCCTCCTCTGTCCTCCTTCTCTGAGCTCCTCCTCTGAGCTCCTCCTCTGACCTCCCCCTCTGTCCTCCTCCTCTGAGCTCCTCCTCTGACCTCCTCCTCTGAGCTCCTCCTCTGTCCTCCTCCTCTGACCTCCTCCTCTGTCCTCCTCCTCTGAGCTCCTCCTCTGTCCTCCTCCTCTGAGCTCCTCCTCTGACCTCCTCCTCTGAGCTCCTCCTCTGTCTTCCTCCTCTGACCTCCTCCTCTGTCCTCCTCCTCTGACCTCCTCCTCTGAGCTCCTCCTCTGAGCTCCTCCTCTGACCTCCTCCTCTGTCCTCCTCCTCTGAGCTCCTCCTCTGAGCTCCTCCTCTGACCTCCTCCTCTGTCTTCCTCTGAGCTCCTCCTCTGACCTCCTCCTCTGAGCTCCTCCTCTGTCCTCCTTCTCAGACCTCCTCCTCTGTCCTCCTCCTCTGAGCTCCTCCTCTGAGCTCCTCCTCTGTCCTCCTCCTCTGTCCTCCTCCTCTGAGCTCTTCCTCTGTCCTCCTCCTCTGAGCTCTTCCTCTGTCCTCCTCCTCTGAGCTCTTCCTCTGTCCTCCTCCTCTGAGCTCTTCCTCTGTCCTCCTCCTCTGACCTCCTTCTCTGACCTCCTCCTCTGAGCTCCTCTGAGCTCTTCCTCTGTCCTCCTCCTCTGAGCTCCTCTGTCCTCCTCCTCTGACCTCCTTCTCTGACCTCCTCCTCTGTCCTCCTCCTCTGAGCTCCTCCTCTGTCCTCCTCCTCTGACCTCCTCCTCTGTCCTCCTCCTCTGAGCTCCTCCTCTGAGCTCCTCCTCTGTCCTCCTCCTCTGTCTTCCTCCTCTGACCTCCCCCTCTGTCCTCCTCCTCTGTCTTCCTCCTCTGAGCTCCTCCTCTGACCTCCTCCTCTGACCTCCTCCTCTGTCCTCCTCCTCTGACCTCCTCCTCTGTCCTCCTCCTCTGACCTCCTCCTCTGAGCTCCTCCTCTGACCTCCTCCTCTGAGCTCCTCCTCTGACCTCCTCCTTTGACCTCCTCCTCTGTCCTCCTCCTCTGACCTCCTCCTCTGTCCTCCTCCTCTGAGCTCCTTCTCAGACCTCCTCCTCTGTCCTCCTTCTCTGAGCTCCTCCTCTGAGCTCCTCCTCTGACCTCCCCCTCTGTCCTCCTCCTCTGAGCTCCTCCTCTGACCTCCTCCTCTGAGCTCCTCCTCTGTCCTCCTCCTCTGACCTCCTCCTCTGTCCTCCTCCTCTGAGCTCCTCCTCTGTCCTCCTCCTCTGAGCTCCTCCTCTGACCTCCTCCTCTGAGCTCCTCCTCTGTCTTCCTCCTCTGACCTCCTCCTCTGTCCTCCTCCTCTGACCTCCTCCTCTGAGCTCCTCCTCTGAGCTCCTCCTCTGACCTCCTCCTCTGTCCTCCTCCTCTGAGCTCCTCCTCTGAGCTCCTCCTCTGACCTCCTCCTCTGTCCTCCTCTGAGCTCCTCCTCTGACCTCCTCCTCTGAGCTCCTCCTCTGTCCTCCTTCTCAGACCTCCTCCTCTGTCCTCCTCCTCTGAGCTCCTCCTCTGAGCTCCTCCTCTGAGCTCCTCCTCTGTCCTCCTCCTCTGTCCTCCTCCTCTGAGCTCTTCCTCTGTCCTCCTCCTCTGAGCTCTTCCTCTGTCCTCCTCCTCTGAGCTCCTCCTCTGTCCTCCTCCTCTGACCTCCTTCTCTGACCTCCTCCTCTGAGCTCCTCTGAGCTCCTCCTCTGTCTACCTCCTCTGAGCTCCTCCTCTGACCTCCTCTGACCTCATTACATTCAGATCTGTTGTACATGTCTTTAGTGGTGGGGGTAACCGGAGCAACTGGAGGAAACTTATGCAAACCTTCCCTGTACAGAGGCTGAGGCTCAGGAGCAAACGGCTGTCCTGCAGAGAAGAGGCGCTTGTCTTTTATCAGGAGGTCTCGTCGGTGAAAGCAAAGAAAATGGTGGGAGCTAATCGCTGCTCGAGTCTCCTTTCTACTTTTTAAATTCTGCAGTTTGTCTTGTTCTCCCAAACAAAAGCTTGCACTTAACCCCTGCCTCTGTCTCCTCTGAACCTGAGTGGACTTCTTGGTTCAGCTTGAGTTCCTTCAGTCACCATGTTCAGAAAATAATTGTTCTCTGTTGGTTTGGGCAACGCAGTGAGTCGTTCAGTGTTGGTTGGATTTGTTCCCACTGCACAAATGAGCTGAAGGTGAAGGCTGCTGTGAGGTGCCACTTTTCTCCTCTACAACATTAGACGTATTTCTTGACCATAGTGACCCACAATTCTTAATTCAATTCAAGCTGTTGAGTCTGCAGCAGAAATCGTATCTCAGAACTTCAGCCCAGGTCATTGTGTGGTTTGATGTTGGTGTGATGTGTCTGTGGTGGACATGGGCTCGTGGTGCAGTGTGATTGAGACCGTGTCTGGCAGTAAGATGCACATTCTGAATGATCGACTGCAATAATGATAAAGTATATTTAGATTACATTATTTATTGCAAAACCTGGTCCATACAATCAGACAACATATACACACAAATAAGTTTTAAAAGTTGGACGAAGCACACACCAACCCCTCTCAATTGTTATACACAACACAAAACATCACGTTGTCAGTGTAGAAGCCTGTCTCACGTTTTGAGGAAGAGACTGTTTTCACAGATTTTAGCCTTGTAAATTTGAACCACTGACTTCGTTGATCTTTTAAACAAAATCAACAACAGACTTGGAGTTGTTTTTAGCCCTGACCAGCTTTTTGCCTTTCAGACCAAAAGTATTGCCCATAAATTAGTTTTGACAATCTCCATGGTGACTGAGCTGGAATCCCATTCAGAGAAAAAGAGGAGGTTGTAGCTAAAATATATGTTTTATTTATTTTTATTACTATATCCTTTTCACAATTCATGTGCACAAATGTTTAAACTTTTGTAGTTCAGCAGCCGTGGCAACGCAGGGAGATGGAGCCATGTTTAAAATCAGAATCATCAGTGTGAGTTTTTGGGCGATTCTGAGAGTGAGCCCGATGTGGGGACGCAGCACAGACAGTGTGTGCAGCTCCTGGTGTCAGTGTGCGTCCTGTGTGTGTCAGTGTGCGTTCTGAGTGTGTGTGTGTCAGTGTGCGTCCTGTGTGTGTCAGTGTGCGTTCTGTGTGTGTGTGTCAGTGTGCGTTTTGTGTGTGTATGTCGATGTGCGTTCTGAGTGTGTGTGTCAGTGTGCGTTCTGTGTGCGTTCTGTGTGTGTATGTCGGTGTGCGTTTTGAGTGTGTGTGTGTCAGTGTGCGTCCTGTGTGTGTCAGTGTAAGTTCTGTGTGTGTCAGTGTGCGTCCTGTGTGTGTGTGTCAGTGTGCGTTCTGTGTGTGTGTCAGTGTGCGTTCTGTGAGAAAGTTGGAAGCAGTTGAGCTGAAACAGTCTGTTCACCTTCACGCGGCACGACAGATGGCCCGACTGGCTCTGTGTCTCAGCCACAACAGAGAGGAGGAGAGGAGGAGCAGAGGAGCAGAGGAGGGGAGGAGCAGAGGAGGAGAGGAGCAGAGGAAGACAGGAGGAGCAGAAGAGGAGAGGAGGAAAGGAGGGGGGGGGGGGGGGGGGGCAGAGGTAAAGGAGAGGAGGGGAGTAGGAGAGGAAGAGTAGAGGAGGAGCAGAGGAGAGGATGAGAGCAACAGAGGAGGCGAGCAGAAGAGGAGAAGAGGAGGAGCTGAGGGGGAAATAAGGGACAAGTGATTATACGATCACTGCAATCCCCTGTCTTAGATCCATTTATTACAATCTTCAAGATGCACTGTGCAAACAAAACAACCAGAAGATAAGAACGAAGGAAGAGGCAAGGAGGAGAGGAGAGGAAGTATTTATTTATGAGGAGAGAACATACAGTATGTTTACATTGATCAGACACCCAGGATACAATGTTTGATTGCACATATTATAACTGAATAGTTCCCCGCTCTCAAAAAAGTCATAGTTTTCATGTTTTTGTCACCGTGGCCTCAGTCATGCATTAGAGAGAAAGGAGAGGACCACTCTTGATGAGCCAATCAGCTTGGTAGTAGGGGAAACCGGAGCACTCGGAGGAAACCTATGCAGACACTGAATATCAAATATTGACTCAGGGCTCTTTCTTACACATACGCACATGGTAAAAAGTCTTCTAATATGATACATGTTGTACTTTGAGTGGTTTCTGGACCACATTTTTACAAATTCAAAGTTCACCATTCACTACTTTCTTCTACACATCTATACATTTCGTCCCACGGATAAAGTTGCAGACAGGTGACTCCTCAACCTCCAAAGTAAATATTGAGTGATGCTTGCTCGTTCACCTGCTTGTTTGCCTGGAGCGTAGTGGTTTCTCCCAGGTCAGGTCGGCTGTGTGAAGGCACCTCTCACTCCACAGGGGCAGCAGAAGGCAGTAGTTGGGGAGGCGTGGTGCGCGTGGAGAGTGTTACTTACTGGTTATTGTGGTGGTCATACTGCGTCCCGTATGGCAGCGTAGAAACGAACAGCATGCAAACACCTTCTGTCCAAACATCTGCGACAGGCACATTTTTAGGCTGCAGTCCAAAAGCTAAAAAAAGAGAGAGTTAGGAGGAAAAAAAGTCTCCTGCCGCCTGGCTCGTGTCTCGCTCTGCTGGTTGATAGAGTTTTAGGGTTTATTTCAGGATAATTGGAGAGATGCCACCCTAACAGGCAACCAGATCAGTTCACATTACAATACAATGCAACATGTCAGTTTGCAGCATGCGCTGTTGTGTCTTAAAGGGGACATATTATGAAAAGCCTATAAGCTTTTAACCATATTTTAGATCCGTTCACACTAAGAAAGAGGAACTTCTGATACAACAATATCACTCGGCCCCTTTTATGTGAGAACCTCTGTCTCCGTTCTGTAATAATATGATGTCATTGTACTGGTAAGCATTTTTGCCCTTCATCCTTGTTTCACCATATATTTTCTCCTAAAATGTGAATTTACATTGTAAAACCATTATTTTTAAGCTCCTGAAATAAAGTTTAATATTTCTCCTTTAAAGAAGGGTATGCGGCAGTAATGAAACCAATATTAGGAGCCATTAAGGAACCAAATCAAACTATAGGGGAAGAACAAAAGTTTTGTTTCTTTTTATTCTGGTCAATATTCAATGTTTGTTTTTGTTGTTTTTGTTGTTTTTGTTTGTTTTGTTGATGTTCTGTCATAAAAATGTCTATATTCACGTATTGTTCAATTGACTACCAACTGATAGACAAAACTTTCAAACTCACCATTTACTTCTCAGGTTTTTGTGACACAAATTGCATGTCCCGAAGTATAAACACATAAATGTTGCGAACACACATTTTGATTAAAGCATTGTGTGTGTAAAGTGTTTCAAATTAAACTATTGTCAATTCACTTTGAGGAGTTTACATGACATCAGCACACAACCTGTGTTACTGTACCTCTGACACAAAGATGTTTTTCATCCAAAGGCCCAATGACCAGGCCAAGTGTGCGTGCACAGGGCTGGCCACGGTGGCGCCTGTTCAAAAATACACACACCAAATCTCACTGGAGCCCGCTGCTTCAACACATCACGTCATGCATTCCTTCTGCTTTCGCTCATTTTCCTATTTTTTCTGAAGGTTTGCCCCCAGAACATGACTTATAAAAGATTCCAGTGTGAGCCAATTATTTCAGACTTTGATGGTTATAAATCAAGGCTGACCAATAAAAGTGAAGACGGCCAAGTCAAATGTTGGTGTGTGAGAGTGACTGTAAATGGATCCAGATGGGCTGGGAGGCTGCCACCGCACAGAACTGGAGACATCACTACACGTCTTTATATGTGTGTGTGTATGTGTGTGTGTGTGTGTGTGTGTTCAGACTGTGATACACAACGCCTAAAGCCTTATCAGCAGCCAAGTCTAGTTACAGAGTAGACCTGATTTCTAGGTATTGGCCGTACCAGCGAGTCAAAGCTTGATCTCGTCCAGTCCCAGATGCTGATCAAGTCCGAGCCTGGTTAGAATGTGATGTGATGGAGAGAGTTTAGTTTGTCGTTCTATTACCATTGTGTCCTGAAGCAAGATACTTCAGAGAAATGTCCGGATTAACACGAGCAAAGAACTCACCCCATTGGTCTAAGTCAAAAGGGTCACTTTAGTTCACCAGAATTCTCCGGGGGCCAACCAGACGAATTGTTTTGACTGGATTCAGACCCATTTATTCTTATGCTGCTTTTGATTCATATTTGGCGGTTGGCTGAAGACAAATGTTACTTTCTCACCATAGATGGATTTGTTCGGCCCAAAAATACAAATAATGTCAGCAGCCAGAATCTACAAGTTTCTTTCCTTTACACTGAGGTACAGAACAACGTCCATATTTTGGCTGAAATTGGTTGTGTTTAAGATGAGAAGAGATAAGATAAAACTTAATTGATCTCAAAGACTATTTTGTGTTTTAAAGGAATAGTTCACCGTTTGTACATACTGACATATGTTCTTACCTTACCTTAGACTAGTTAATACGTACCTGTCTGGTCTTAGTCCGTGCGCTCTGTCATGCAAACGGAGCAAAAACTGGAGCACAACCGCAGCCTCCTCTGTATATTTTGTAGCACCAAAAGGTAGCTCCCGCTAGAAGCTACCAAACTCTTCCAAGTGTTCCCTATTAAATTTATATAGTTACGTGACGTGTTACACTGCAAAGTATAGTAACACAGAAATGTAACAGTCGATTTTCTCAGCGGATAAAACGGGTACTATATTGTGAGGCGTAGTAATCTGAGGTGCGCTACGTCCGCGCACTAACTTCTCTCCGGAGACTTCTCTCTCGCTCACTTCCGTCAATAGAAGCAGCGTGACTTGTAGTACACACAGTAGCAGCGAGAGAGAAGTCTCCGGAGAGAAGTTAGTGCGCGGAGAAGTTAGGAGCGCTACGTCCGCGCACTAACTTCTCTCCAGAGACTTCTCTCTCGCTGCTACTGTGTGTATTACAAGTCACGCTGCTTCTATTGACGGAAGTGAGCGAGAGAGAAGTCTCCGGAGAGAAGTTAGTGCGCGGACGTAGCGCACCTCAGATTACTACGCCTCACAATATAGTACCCGTTTTATCCGCTGAGAAAATCGACTGTTACATTTCTGTGTTACTATACTTTGCAGTGTAACACGTCACGTAACTATATACATTTAATAGGGAACACTTGGAAGAGTTCGGTAGCTTCTAGCGGGAGCTACCTTTTGGTGCTACAAAATATACAGAGGAGGCTGCGGTTGTGCTCCAGTTTTTGCTCCGTTTGCATGACAGAGCGCACGGACTAAGACTAGACAGGTATGTATTAACTAGTCTAAGGTAAGGTAAGAACATATGTCAGTATGTACAAACGGTGAACTATTCCTTTAAAGGCTCACTTACAGACGGACATGCCTGGTCTAAGTTGAATCTTTGGTGACTGTAGAGCGGTGGGGCCTATGTCAAAAATCAGACAAATACGTTGTTAATAACAGTCGTAAAGGATAATAAAATATTATATATACATTTGAACTGACAGATCTGTAACTAAAATAAGAATTATCCCAGTTGACCGTAGACCTGAGGAAAGATTAAACTTTGCCAGACTGGATAAGAAAGACCGAAAAAACATGGATGGGATGAAGTTACTGTAGTACATAAACTTTCTGTTATCAGAATAATAAAAAGTTTGAACATTGTAGTAGCTTAGTTTATTTTGAAGTGAGATCCTTGACGCCTTGTGAACATAAAACAGTCTGCTCGTCAGGAAACCATTGGATCGACATTGTGTTTGGATTCTGCTGAGTGGAACATGTCGAGGGAGTGGGAAGATAAGCTAAATCACAAAAGCAGTCTGGAAATACACTATTATGCGCCACTTCAAAAACTGTTTCACATCAAATGCAAGAAACAGACCTGCTCATCTTGGGGTAACAAGACGGATCTACTCTTTCCACAGATTCTCTAAATGTTTTTGCTCAGATGCGATGTGTAAGAGTGAGGATTAAATGAAAGACGGTCAATAGGTCAGACGAGTCCGCGCTGGCTAAACAAGACGGCTCTTATCAAAGCGCTGGTCCACTTCATCAGGCGGGAATGAAACAACACACTGTGACAGGAGAGATTGCACAGTTTCTGGATTTATTTTAAATGACAAAAACATGGTGCATCTGTGTTCCCAGGCAGGGGGTAGACACGCTCAAATCAAATATCACTTTGTATGTTATCAATTGTGATGCTGATGTATTCATATTTACTTAATCATGATGATGATTGACAGTGGGCTGAGGGGATGGCACGTTTGAATAACAGTCAAAACAGGACTTTTCTGAGCGGAGTTTGCATGTTCTCCCCATGTCTGCATAGGTTTCCTCCAGGTGCTCCGGTTTCTCCTATCACTAAAAACATGCACAAAATCCTCCAGCTCCGGACTTGCCCAAGCCGAGCATCAACATGGATCAACTGGAGATGGGTCCCTGGGCGCTGTTACTACGGCGACCACCGCTCGTGATAGACGCCCTAGTGGCATCAGGATGGGTCAAATATAGAGGACACATTTCCTTACAGGAACAAAAGTGTGCACATTTACATTTAGTGATGCATCCAGACAGAAAAGCAGAAAGAGTATCTCGGTTGTGTTTCCAGTTTCTCTGGTGAAATACGTAATCTTAAATCAGGTACGATTACGTCCAATTTAGCAAACCATGATTATTCAAGATGAAGAGCAAATCCAATAAACTTTTTTGTGAAAGCCAGATCCCGTCAGCTAAACAGGGCAGGGCCTGGTTAGTGCTGTGATGGGAGACCTCTGGGAACACCAGGTGCCACAGTGGGGCAGCTGTGGTTATAAAGTGCCAAACTATCGTTGTGTCTTTAGGCAAGGCACTTCACCCCCATTGCCTGGAATACATCTGGTGTGTGTGAATGGTTGGTGGTAGTCGGAGGGGCCAATGGTACATACTGGTTGGCTCGCTTCTGTCAGTGTGCCCCAGGGCAGCCTTGGCTACAGTAGTAGTTTATCGCCACAGTGTTTGGAGTGAAAGAATAATGACATGTAAAGCGTCTTTGAGAGTCGTGAAAGCGCTATATAAAACCTATGCATTATTATTATTATTATTATCATACTGTAGCGCCTCGTTGAAGGTGAAGCACTTTATAGTGAGGGACCACTTTCTTTCCTAGAAGGACGTACAAACAAAATAAAAATATATGCATAATTGTTGTGTCCCCTGTTCTTGGGTAATTATGGTTTCGTTGTAACTGTAATGCTCATTCTACATTCTCTCTATAAGATTTTCTGTCGGAAGAGGAAATGTGTGAGCCGCATTTTGGTTTTTGAAGCTCAAGGTTGGAAACATGTTTTGTCGAAAAAATTTAAAAGAGTGTGCGGTTTGTAAGTTGTCACTCAAAGAGAAAACAGATCTATAATGCGCTGAGGCGAGGAGACCCTGGGCTCTTTTTGAATTTGATTTGATCCTACTTAACATTTTGCTTCAGGTTATGACTAGGGAATGC